AAGTTCTTCAACACAGCCCACCATAACAACTCGGCAGTATGAAGTGCAGCACTTGGCAATGACTGCCCATATTGTCTGAAGACGTCCGCAATTAGCGCTTGTGGTGTAATTTTACACTCGATACATGCATATTCCCAATTTGCTTGAGGTGCATTTGACGGGATTTAATCTGCTCACGGGCATTTTGCGATTACATCTATACATAACAGCGGTTGATTTTTTTCCACAATCCCATGTATTTCAGGCCAATTGTTTACCACTTTTGTTGCAAACGTCTTAAAAATTACTCCTTTTCACATGGACTGCAATTTAGTTCAATCTGTTTGAATGAAAGGACGCCGCTCAAATTGATCCGCTAGTTTGCGATTTCATTTTTATGCCAACCAATCGGAATGGTGAGCGGTGCTCAGTCTGCCTACTCCTACTAATCCACGAATCAGCTCACTCTGTTCGAGCACCACCTCAACCAATCAACTTTCTAGCTCGAAATTATTGACGAAGACAAACTCTCCTGTCTTAGTTGCGTCGTCTTCACGACATCGAACGGATCTCTGGTGTCAGTGACAATCTACTCCTTAGGCTTCTTGCTTTCCTTGTGGTAAGTTGAATAAACTGTTAAATGCTTTTCATAATCAACCATTTCTAATTCCTGTGTCATCTGCATGCTACTGCATTTGCCGCACGTTGCTTTGATCATTTGCCTGTGCATTAGACTTGGTTGAGTTAATAAACAGTTCGAAAATAACCAGGCTGTCGTTAACTGTGCACCTTCCATGCTTTCCTTGGCCCCATTCTTGTAGAATCTTGTAGCAATATGCCAAAATGGCAGTAGCGCTTCCGGACGGAAATGGATAAACGACTAACAGCTACTACCCAGTTGATGCTAGCCTGCCTCTTGTTAAAAGGGCGTTGCATGCTCATTTGTCCCCATTTATACACGTTGCGGATTGAGCAATCTGACATGAAAATTTGTGACGAAGAGCTGCAGCAGGAAAATATTGAGCGGCATTTAATATGGAAGCATTAGGCTTTGATTTAATCTCGGTATTGACTGTTAAAGGTTGGCGCATTGAAAGCAAAATCACTAATAGTTGCGACAATATTTGATGGACCGACGGATGGACGGGTGGATAAAGCCGTTTTCAATCGGCTTGACTGCAATTTCTTTTACTTCATGTCTGCTCATTTTGGCTATACTGCTTTAACTCAGCCAGATGCATAGACATTCAAGTTAAGAATACAGGTACTTGAGTAATGTGAAATCATTGGATGAGGGATAAAAATGACGGAAACCTTGCCCAACTTTGTGCAACGAAACTGATAATTAGGGTTCACGAAGCGCTGTCTTGTGTCGATAATAGTTTGAGTTGTTTTAATTCGTATCGATATCATGGCTTTTTTTACCAATATCAGCATAACAAATTGTAAACGATTTTTACCGCTTTAGAATATGGCAGAATTCATTCAACAGAGTGATGGTCATGAAATTCAGGGACAATATATCACAGGGGAAAATGAAAACTTTGAACAGCCCTATTCATACATTCACCTACTGGCCGACACTGAGCCACCTCAGGAACCGCATCATGTCGAATATCAGATGACTGATGCTGCCTCTCTACCATATGACTCGCAGCAATTCTGGCCGTCAGGCTCTATGCCAGAGGTATTGCCGCAACAAACTGGATCGCCAAACCCCCAACATTCAACGCAGCATTTCCCTGCGCCATTTTACACCAGTCCATTGCAAATTCAACCTAATACCACAGCAATGCCTTCTTCCACGTTCGTCCAGCACACATCAAATCCCTACCCATATCCTTTCTCTAGTTACCAAATCGAAAGTCAAAATCTGGTGACTCAACATTTGGAAAGACATCCTTCGGCAATTTATCGTGCACACACTCAGCCATCAGCTAGTGTGCACCACTTCATGGCAGCTCCAGACAACCAAGCTGACATGATGTGCTCACCCACGCCTCTACAATCAGCCCCATTATGTATTTCTGTCACCAATGCAAATATTGACGCTGCTAATTCAGCGCAAGGACAATCGAGACAGACCACTTTGGATGAACCTTGCACAAGTCGACTGCAGGACGACGACCACAGTGTCAAAATGTCTCGTGACACTCACTTCCAGTTATGCAGCTTTCTGCCACCAAGAACCAGTTTAAGTGAATTCATGTGCGCCTCCGCAGAATCGCATCAGCCGATTTGTGTTGAACGACGGGCTTTTCAAAGGAAGAAGAAACAACTTCCCTGGAGTTAATTGAGAAAGAAAAGTGGAAAAGACTGGCTATGCACACGTCGGAAATGATCACCACTAGAGTTGGAAGGTGAGTGCGTCGTAAGGCATGGCAGGCACGATCAAGCAAGTTACACAATACCATTAGTCAACTTAAGGTCCCTGGTCGCTTCACATATCAATAATCAATGTGTTCATTTAGAACAATCTCTTTTTCAGGCGCATCTTTCCGCATTTGTCGGTAAACGTCAGCAGCCTTGATCCGAAAGCGGTGTGCTCCATCGTCATAGACTTGGTACAATTACAGCCTAACACTATGACATACAACAGGAATGGCGCTTGGACGTTTCGTGAATCTACAGCCCAATACCCACCACCTGAAGGAACTCGTAAGAACTGATTTATTACACAGCTGCATAATTCAGCTTATTCTCTCTGCTTTTGCAAATCCACGTCGCCTTGTTCCTATTTTACAGAACCCCTCTTATACCTTGCGAAACACTCTCCGCAAAAGGGGGAATTTTGGATGACACAGGGAGTTGATTTGAAGGCTGCCAAAATCATACACGCGAAAACAGCAGAGCAGGATATAAATATGGTGAGTTGACACACCTCTCGATGTAGGTGTTTGGTAATTTGAGAAGCTCACAATCCCAGGTCATGTTCTTCCTGGCTAATTATCGGAATGTGCACTGCACCTAGTTAGTATTTGGTAACGCTAATACCTGCATTTGTTGCTTCTCTTACAGATGTTCGTCTATACACAACATCAGTACATCCCGCGATACCACATAATGCGGCATTTGAGTGCAGGAGAAATTGAGGAGGCACGCAACGAATTCAGGATGGGGCAGCTGCATGTTGATGTGGTTGGCAGTTTCTTTATACCAGTCACACAATTTGTGGCAGTTGTACAATACCAAAATGCCGAGGTTAAACAAGTCAAAATCGATGAAAACGCGTATGCCACTGCACACCGAAAGCGCAGGCGTGCTGATTGCTCTGCTTCTATTTCTAACTGAAATGATGGTCAAAGTGTTTTGTACACCTTATTTTGCCGTATTTTTGTGAATTTAAACAAAAATATAAGGTAATCTGTGCTCCTTTTTAGCAGTTAGTGGACGTTTTTAAAGTCACACGCATTGCTGTAACGGTGTTGCGCCTGTTTTACTTTGTCTGCAGTAAAACACCAGGGGAGTTGTGTGAGCATAGGCTGTAATATACGCATTTTAATGAAAGTCTGATGTCAGTCGATCGCCCTTGACGCACACGAATCTCTTGTAAAGCTCTCTTCGAACGTTGCGTGATGTGTGGATACACGCTGACACAGCAGTTACGTGATACTGGGGTATACACCGCCAGACCATGCCACTGCTAGTGCAACTAGGTAGATCGGGCGCACAACAAGTTGGCAGCTAGGATTGGGAAGCAGGTTGGAAGGTGCCTTACATCTGCAACAAGGAAGGTTTATGTAAGTGACAAAATGAATGGTGATGTGACGATTGCATATTTTGTTGAATTCGCGTCTCAAAATGCCACAAACAGACATTATATCCTACATGTACTAAGTGATTATTTG